GCTACATGGAAGGCTAAGGCAGAAGGATCACCTGAGCCCAGCAGTTCGAGGCTGCGGTGGTCGTGAGTGTACTACTGCACTCCAGCCTGGGTGACAGAGTGAGATTCCAACTCAAAAAAAAAAAAAAAAAATACACATATTGCATGACCATAATAAATTCAAGATAAAACTGTGTTAAAAGCAATTCTTCTTTTAAAATGCTGAATTTGTTCAAGATGTAAGCCTTCTGGACACTATTTATTTTATTACTAATTTCTCTATGTCTCCCACTCAAAGGAGACACATTCCTTTTGCCAGCACTTGGTAAGCACACAAAAATAGGTTGGCTGTGTGGGTGAACGGAGTTACGAGCTCAGCCGAAGTCCAGGGGCATCTTCCTGGGAATATTAGCAACAAAACAGCGTGGGCTAAAGCAGAAGGGAGGAAGAAAAGGAGAGCTGGAGGGAAGGGATCCAGCGTAGCCAGAAGGCAGTAGGAGGTGTCAACCTAAAATAATCGAAAGGATCAGAACCCAGTTTGAAAGAGTTTCTTCAAGCTCGAAGCTGAGGATAGACATTCAGGAAACACAGACTCCAAAGAATGGGGTCACTGCTCCCAAGCTGAAAAGTTAAGGTCTTACTGATACAGGCAAAACACAGATTGAACAGGATTACATGTTCCTTACGGGGCTGGTTTATGAGTTACTGCGATTTGACTAGTTACAGCTTGTTTTCTTTTCCTTTTTCCAATTTAATGGTGTATGTTTAACAATCCATGTTAGACAATATGAGGTCTGGGTGCAATATGGGTTCGAGAAAGAGGGACGTTAATCTACAATAAAGATCAACTGTTAAGAGGAGAGGGATCTTCTCTGGTGCCATTTAGTCTTTTAAAAAATATTTTACAAAACAACATAGGTAAAAAAAGGCTCATCTGTAATCAGAGAAACAAAGGTTACAGCTGCCTGCGACAGCACTCAGGTGCTCTAATCATACTCCTTTAAGGCTCAAAATCTTTACCGTTCCAACAGCTTTGATTGTAAATTACTTATTTTCACGGAGGAGATGAGGAAACCAGGCAGAGGAGGGAAACAGAGAGAGGCGGACACATGGCCCCCTGGAGACCCCTTTGCCGCAAAGCAGTCAGAGGTCAGCAGTCCTTGTGCACAGGGGTCTTGCTTCGGATCGTGACCACAATTCCGTGCCTGACCCCAAGGCATGCATCAGATTGGCTGGCCTGTGCGGTGTCCCCAAGGGGTCCCCAAGGGCTAATGGACCCAGCAGGCTCTTCCCTCAGACACTCAGAGGAGTTGCTCGTGACCAGGGAGCTCAGAAAGAATGTCTGTGGAGAGCTGAGACAGAGGCTCTCCAAAGAACATCTCAGTTCTTCATAAGGTCAACGGGGAAACTGCTGACATGGCTCTCTGTGTGTTTTTGTTATAATTAGTTACTGGCATGGGACGTAAAATCTGAACGCGTCTGTGATATCAATTAGCTCGAGTTGCTGTGCACACTTGTGCATGTGCACTTCTAAAAAGGCAGGAAAAGTAGATTTAAGAAAGGAATGAGCACAGAGCAGAGGGTGCCTGAGGCCAAGGCGCAGACGGGAAGTGGGAAGAGACACACTTCCTCGCTTTCCTGGGGCCTGGGACAGGGGCTGTGCCCCCGTGCCCCTGCGAGTCCCAGTGCTACACGTGGCAACATGTGGTTCTTTGGAGTTAAAGAACTCAGAGATAAGAGCCTGGCAGCATGGAGGTTAATGCGTTCTGAAGGATGCAAACGTGCATCCCAGGAACTTGAACACTGTGACAGAGAGTCTGGCGTTATTTCCAGAAGTCAGGCTCAAAAATCTTAGGAATGAAATACTGTGGCCAAACGAGACAGGAATTTCTGAAAAATGTCAAGATTTTACATTCTTGGGCGTTCATTTGAAACCAACGCTTACATTCTTCTTGATTATTTAAGTCATATGTGCTCACTGTTGGCACTTAGAAAGTAAAAATTGTGACCAGGCTCAATGGCTCACACCTGTAATCCCGGCACCTTGGGAGGCTGAGGCAGTAGGAATCGCTTGAGCCTAGGAGTTTGACACCAGCCTGGGCAACATAGAGGGATTTTGTCACTACAAAAAAAAAAAAATAGCCATGAGTGGTAGCACATGCCTGTAGTCCTAGCTACTGGGGAGGCTGAGACAGGACTGTCTGAGCCTAGGAGGTCAAGGCTGCAGTGAGCCAGGATTGTGACACTGCACTCCAGCCTGGGCAAGAGAGTAAGATCCCAATGAAAGAAGAAAGAAAGAAGGGAAGAAAGGAAGAGAGGGAGGGAGGAAAAGATTGCACAGTAATCAAACATTAATATATTTATATATATCCCGGTAATCTCCAGAAGCCAGAAAAGTCAAGGCATTTTATAGCATTGTTCTGCCACAGAGGTTGTGCCTTCTCAACTAGCACTATCACCATGAGGGAGTGAAGATGCAGCTTAGACACTGTTGGTTTACACCAGTCTATAGAGCATTATTTGTGGACCCCACAATTGACGTGCCCGGGTCATGAATCAGAATTGCAGGCTGAAAGAAAATGTGGAGTTAGTTGTCATCTGCTAATGTGGCAGAGAGGGGCTAGAAACAGTCAAAATTATTTTTTTTTTAAATTCAACCTGCAAGTTCCAAACCTGCTAGACATGGGACGTGAGAAAATCAAATAGCCACAGGTTGCTTTCCTGTAAGTGCAAGATAATAATCGATTCACGACCTTACCCATCCCCCCAACCCACTCTTTGTAAAGTTATCAGTTTAAAACCCCTGCTTGTCATGTATATCCTGGAAACAATTTGTTCTTTGGAAATCTGTTTTTGCTGAATACTACCTTGCAAATTCCAAAGAAAAATGGATAGCCATACAATCTGACCGCCTCCCTTACCTAAACTAACATATAAAACCCTTCTCTTCTTTCTCCGGGTTGCTCAGCCTTGGAGCATTGGCCCACTGAGTCACACCGGTGCTAATAAAACACTACTTCCTAAGATAGACTTGGTGTCACAGTCTCTCTGTTTTCCTGCAACACGAATGCTGACCTTGCCTGTACACTGTGGTATGTGCTGCCAGTCGGTGGCCACAGATAGACCCAAAGACCTGGCTCTTGGACTTGAATCTCTGTGCTCAGTAAAATCATTCATGGTTTTACCAGGGGAACAAGTTGCTCTTTTATTTTAAAATTAAATTATTTTAGGGAGTGTCTTATAAAAACACTTGAAAAGTCTGTAATGTTATGATGAGCTGTCACAAACACATAATATCAGAATGTTAGAACTCAAAGAGTCCAGGGTGGACAAAGTGGGGAGGGAGTTAGGTGAAGCTAAGAGCTTTGTCCTCAGCCTGTGAAAAGGCAGGAGCAGGAAAGTAAAGCCTTGGTTCAGGGGAAACAGTCCCAAGACACAGGATGAGGGAGGAAGGCTGCCCTCAGCTCCTCGGGCTCTGCTGGTTCAACTCACGTGAGGAGCCCTTGTTCCAACCATCTACCAGAAATTGAGCCCGCGGGTTCGAGACCCACCTGGGCAACTTGGCAAGACCTCATCTCTGCAATAAATCAAAAACTAGCCGGGTGTGGCAGCATGCGCCTGTAGTTCCAGCTACTTGGAAGGCTGAGGCGGAAGGATCGCCAGAGCCCAGCGGGTCGAGGCTGCGGTGGCTGCGAGTGGCCACTGCACTCCAGTCTGGCCGACAGAGTGAGACTCCAACTCAAAAAAAAAAAAAAGAAATTAAAGGCTCCTCAGCAAAGTGCCTATGAGTTAGTGTGGATTGCAAACAAAAGGCTTGAACAAAGAGCCTTATGCTCAAATCGCCCTAGGTTTCCTTCTCATCTCTATTCTGGTTCTATAGCAATCACATAAGATCTAGTGAGGCCTCATTTGAGCATAGCTTTCCTCCTTACCCAAGAGCTTTACCCTTCTGCAAAATAATACACAACTTAATACACTGAGCTGCTTTCTAAGACTGACGTTTTCATTTTTAAAAGTTCATTTCAAAGTATTTGTTAAGTTTTTTTTTTTTGAGTTGGAGTCTCACTCTGTCACCCAGATTGGAGTGCAGTGGCCGCTCCTGGCCACTATAGCCTCGACTTGCTGGGCTCTGGTGATCCTTCTGCCTCAGCCTTCCGAGTAGCTGGAACTACAGGCACGCGCTACCATGCCCGGCTAATTTTTTATTTATTGTAGAGATGAGGTCTCGCCAAGTTGCCCAGGCAGGTCTCGAACCCATGGACTCAGGCAATCCACTCACCTCAGCCTCCCAAAGGCGCGGGATTACAGGCTGAGCCACCGAGCCCGGCTTTTGTTAAGTTTTTGACCTAAAACCAGAACCACTCTTTAAAAAGGAGATTGTACCTGTACCATGGTCTTGAGTGAATTCCACCAGGTTTGTAAGTGATTTATTATTCCCATGGTATTCTGATGCTAAAGAATGAGAAGTGCACATTTGGCTGGCCTCAGTGACTCAGCCTGTAATCCCAGCACTTTGGAAGACCCAGCACTTTGGGAGCACTTTGGGAGACCACTTTGAATGGCTTGCCTGAGCTTGTGGGTTCAAGACCAACTTGGGCAACTTGGTGCGACCTCTCTCTACAATAAATAAAAAATTAGCTGGGCATGGTTAGCACGTGCCTGTAGTTCCTGCTACTTGGAAGGCTGAGGCGGAAGGATCACCAGAACCCAGCAGGTCGACGCTGAGGTGGCCATGAGTGTGCCACTGCACTCCAGCCTGGGCAATGGACTGTGACTTAAAAAAAAAAAAGGTGCACGCTTAAAGCTAATTATCATTGTTGAGTAAGCAGCACAACCATTTATTCTACCACTGTAACCAACAGGTAATGAACAATCAGCATTAGAAAAATACCTTGGAAAAGCTGAATCATCTTGCAATGTATTTGTTTATAAATTTTATTAAATGAAGAACATGATTGCAATGTGGGATTGATGCAAAATAATAACAACTTGTAAGATCCAGAGATAGAATACTAAATATACCTGAACTAACTCTGCCTTTAATTCCTCCTTTTCTTCCTCGGAGAGGATGCTGGAGAAGTCAGCACCGGCTACTCCATCTTCATCTCGTCCCTTCAATGGTTCCGTCTCCAGTAAACCTTTGGGCAGAATCAATAAAACAGAAGGCAAACGTTACACGAACCTAGCCAACTTCTGTTTCCACAGCCCGGAGGATGAGATACCTTTATGGATCCTCCCACAGAAAAACAATGACAAATTTCAGAAAGGACAGAAATCTCCCGACATGTGTGAGGAGCTTCAAGAAAGTAAAGAACACTACGGCATCAAAAAACAAAGTAAACATGGGAATCCAGAGACGTAACAAGCAGGCTTTCATGGAGTGTTCCGTGTGCCACACGTCCGAATGCCGGCTTGGCGTCTCACCGCCTCAAGGGGTGTAGGGTCAGAGGACAAAGCTCAAGTCCCACCCATGGAGAAGAGTTTAAGGTGAGGCACCTGCATACCTCTGTGTCCCTACGGGGCCACACCTGAGAGACAGATGAGCAAGAAATAAACATCTTCCTTCTCTCACAGGGAACTGCAAGGCAAATTGCCCATCTTGAAACTCAGCGCTGAATGGACAGAGGTTCCCCTGAGAACCCTGAGTGGAACTGCATGTGAACTTACAAGTTGAATGCTCACTACGGGTGGTCCAAACAACCTCAAGGTCAGAATTTAAAATATGAAGGCCTTTTTCCACTCGGGATGTGGTAATACCCATAGCTGCAGCTGCAGTTGCAGCTGTGAGGCAACATTACAGAAACGCTGCCTCTGGGATAGTGCTGGGGTTGTTGACGCCATCATTGTGCTCCAGATTAGCCAGGAATACCTATACTTCTAACTTGTCATGTTGTGGCAGAGAGGGGCTAAAAACATTTAAGATCATTCCTTTTCAAAAACCAGCCTGCAAGCTCCAAGCCTGCTAGACACAGGACGTGAAAAAAACCAAATAGCCACAAGCCGCTTTCCTGGAAGAGCAAGAGAGTCATCGATTCATAACCTTACCCCCCCACTCTACCCTCTCTTCGTGAAGTTATTGGTTTACAACCCCTGCTTGTCATGTATATCCTGGAAACAAACTGTTCTTTGAAAATCTGGTTTTGCTAAATACAACCTTGCAAATTCCAAAAAAAAAAAAAAAAAAAGTATAGCCAAACAACCCCACCCCTCCCTTACCTAAACTAACATATAAAACCTCTCTCCTCTTTCTCTGGGTTGCTCAGCCTTGGAACATTAGCCTGCTGAGTCACGCCGGTGCTAATAACATGCTGCTTCCTAAAATAGCCTCGGTGTCAGGGTCTCTCTGTTTTCCCACAACAATGTGAGACAAATGCCTTATTATTTCAAATAGAAAGAAGTTCCCTGGAAGGACCTCTTAGCTTCTGGCTGACTCCAATGCCTGTGTTCTCCAGAGGGCCCAGGACACAGGCCCACACTCATCAGCAAACCTCATCCACTACGTGGTTCATGATGACTGGCATTTCCATGGGGGAAAGGAAGGGCTTTTAATACATTATCCTGGAACACACAGTCATCCCTATAGAAACAATTAAATTGGACACCTTCATACATCCACAGGGAAAAAACTATAAACATTTTCAAAGACAGTCTGGGCGTTTATGTTGATAAGCTTCTAGGTAGGAAGGAATTTTTTAAACAAGACACAGAAAAGGCAAACCATGAAAGAAAGAATGCATAAGATTAAGAATGGCTGTTCATCAAATTATGCTATATGAAAATGAAAAGACAAACCACAAATTGAAAGAAGAGATCTCATATATATATAATTAACAAAGGATTCCCAGAATACACAGTTCCTACACACCCATTTTAAAAACAGAAATAATCCAATAGAAATACAAGCCCAATGACCCAAGCAGATTCTTTATGGGGAGAAATTGCAAATGGTTAATAAACCTAGGAAAACATGTTCGACTTCATTGATTCTCAGGGAAGCACAAATTAAAAGTATTTCACTCGCTGGATTAGCTACGAAGTATCGTCTGGACATCGACTCATTTCTCCCTATAACTGGCTTCTTTCGGCCCTTCCCTCAGGGAGCGGCCTCTGGCCAAGGCTGATCTCTGACAGGTACGCATATTCCCAGTAAAGAGTCACGGGATGCAGGTGAACCACCAACGCTGAAAGCAGTGTAGGTGGCACTCTTAATGTCAGTGTAAACACTGCAGAGCAATTTGAATAATTAATTTGCCTGATTATAAAACTGCTAGCTGCACTGCCCTGAGGTGCAGATTCTTCACCACCCAGTCAGCCACCATCCGTGCCTTCTGTATGTTCTAATAAACAACGTCTTTCCCTGCTGGATCTCTGGGTGACTTCTTTGGAATAAGTAAACATTACGCACAAGCCTTCTCAGATCTGGGGTCACCGCACTACATGAGTAAACAGTTCGACATTATTGAATATTGGTCACTATGTGGAGGATAGAAACTCTCTCATATGTTGCAGCAAGAATATAAATAGATAAAAATTACTTGGAAAATAATTTAGCATTATCTATTAAAGTTGAACATTCACACACCCCACCACCCAGCAGTTCCACTCTATATACCTGAGATACTCTGTGTGAACTTCAGACGTTATACATGAGCATCAGAGGTCACTAACGAGAACTTTCATAGTAGCAACAAACTGCAAAAGTCACGCACGAGTCCATGAATAGGACAATGCACCAGGACACTGTGGTGCATTTGTACAACAAAGATTGGGTAACAGCAAGATGAATGCACTACAGCTACGGGCATGACATGGACGAAACTTGGGAAATGAGACAATGAGTGAAAAAATAAAGAATAATAAAGTATCATTCTACCTAAATGAAGCCCCAAAGCGCACACAACTGAAATATTATCTAGGAATAAAATTAAAAAGAAAGCAAGGCAAAGATAAAAATGTAGGACCATGGTTTCTTCAGAGAAGGGAGGAAAGGGAGATGGGAATGGGGGAGCCCACAGGGACGCCTGTAGGGAACCCCCTCGGGGATTAGTGGCCATGCTCCATTTCTGGGACCCCAAATTTCTATGCATGAATCTTTTCTGCACTTTACCTTTACTCTGTAAATATTCTTTTGTGTATTTACAATTATTTAATCAAACAACTGAAAATGGATTTTGTTGAAAGTCACAAGAGAAAGGGAGATAAGGCTCCTATAAAATCATAACATCTTTGGGTCAAGAGAGCAAAACACGGCCCGAGTGTGCATAGTCCACTCGCTGCTCCCATTCTTTTGAGTGAGTCAACAGGGTGCCACTGGCACCTTCAGATCACCGCCATCATGCTACATGCACTAGTAAACACGGCATATTGCTGATCCGTGCTCCTCAGATGCTCATCCTCTATTCCAGAGGCCAGCTGCAATGCGAAGTAACTTCCTTTTTCCTAAGTAACACCTGTTCGTTGTAGAAGACAGCATAACAAAAGTATTGACTGGCTAACATCAATATGAATCACACCACCTAGAAATAATTCCTTTTATCTTTCGTTTCTGATATTTCTTCTATTTTCTTCTATATGTGAAATGCATTTACTGTTGTGAACATGATTTATTTATTCAATAGGATACCATATATAAATGTCTTTTCATGCCTAAAAACACATTCTACGTTTATATATTTTCAGTAGTTGTATCTTATCTTGTCTCATGAACGATTGATCATTCACCCTGTTTTCTGGGAAGCTGTGGTCAACATCTCCCGGCTAAGTCATTAGGTAATATCTTGACGATTTTCTATACATTGGATTACTCGAAGGGCATGAATATTTTGAAACCTACTGTCAAAATTATCACCTAGAAAGGCTGTGACAGTTTTATGCAAACATCGGCAAGCTATGAGAATATGGACTCAGGAACTACAGAGAGCAGACTCTCAGTACAATAATGTAACTAGGTCAATTAAAAGGGAAAAATACTGTCATTTCTTTCTCCTAGTAAATAATTACATTTAATGTGGCCAATATATTTTCAGTCAATGTTCTAAGATACCTATCTATGCCAGGAAGCATCAGCGATTCCAAGCACAGGTACAAGAGATGGGCCAGGAGATATGCTGCCCCCTGTACTAGGGGTTAGGAGACAGCCAAGGGCGACAGCAAAACATTATGGTCTTCTCAGTTCAGCCTTGCCCAGGGGCTTATGGACATTGCTCAAACTCAGCAGAACCCAAATCCATAATCTTCCCCATCTTCACAGTTTGAGAAGACATAGTCCGGGGAACAGACAATAGTTTCGGGTACTTAGACTTTTTATGACATCAAACATCATTAGTATCTTTCTATTTCCTAGGAAGGAAAGAAAATCCAATATCCTATATAATTGATATTATATGAATTAGGAAACTTCAAGTGAATTTAGACCCAGTACCCAGCAGGTAGCTTTTACTTTTTAGGGGGTTGGGGAGGTGCATATACTTTACAAAGTGAGAAACTCTGCACTGGCCTTCCACTGTGATGGGTCACCCATACCAGTCCTCAGAGACATCGTGAATCTTTCACAGTCTCACTGCCAGAAACCACCCATTCAAGAAATCTGCCCGGAGACCAGGTTGTTTATTCATTTAGGTCTAAGTTCCTTATCTTCATTTTCTACTTATGCACACAGTTTCCTGACGTATCTGGTCCCAGTGGGTGTTTTCTGAGTTATACAGCTCAACAGAGGTGTGCCATGTAAACAAAAGCAAAATGAGACAAGAGCTGCTGTTTTTAGCAGAATATGTTCAATTCACTGGGTTAGGGAAGCAGCAATCAGATGATGAGATCAAAGGGTAATTCTAGAATCATGATGTAGGATTAAAAAAAAAGGTGATTAACCAGTGACACTAAGTCCAAAACAGGAGGGGAAAAAAAGCAAATGGTAAAATATATCAGGTGACAGATGGTAATGTGAAAAGGGCAATAAAACAAGCATAAAATTACCTAGTTACCATGGAAGCAGATATTAGAGAAGATTATAAACATATTTTTAACGAAAGCAATTATCAGTGGGAAAAATGCTCAAGAATCACAATTTTTAGCAGGTACCAGTATATAATGAACCAACTTCATGAACTTAACTCTCTTTTCCAAATGTGCAAACTGTGCC